TCATCACTTTGTGATAACTGTCAACCACCAAATGGTGATCACTATGATCATCTTACATGAAACAGTAACATGCATGAAGCACCGCTTCAAGCATTTGTGGAAGTCTTTGCAGTTTCTGCAACGAACATCACATGATGGCTTTTCACCCAGAGATATGTGCATCTACTCAAATAACAAAGTCCAAATGATGGCACTGTGATCTAGAGTAACACACATGCAAAACAAAACGAGTTAATTTTCATTTCGAAAACAAAATAGTTGTTCGTAAGGAATGCATCATTGCATATTTAAATGCCCTGCTTGCTCTAGTGGATGTTCATAGAACTCTGAAACAACAAAGCTCTTCCCAAACAACACCATATTTGTAACTGAATAGTTGTAGCCTGAAAAAGGACCAAATGATCCATGCAAAGTGATCATGTCTTTCTACCAAATTTGAAAACGTTAGTCGTGTCCTTTGGTCCTCTACATCCAATCTTGGAAATTTCGTCTTTTTCCACTCGAAAGAAAGATTGACTTCAGGCAGGACCAAGGATCTCCTCAGTTCCATGCTTCCAATCGTTGCATCTATTAGCTTGCCAATAAGGAACATGAGAATGTGCATTCACAGAAGGGTGTGAACACCATCACTTACTGTCAGCCAGGGCCATAAAAATATAAAATTAAAATTGAAACAAACAAGTGTATACACTCCACACGAGTCTTCTATGAATATGTGAGTCATTTCATCAGTTATATAGACATATATGCAAATCACCAATATGGAACCAACGTTAATTGTTTCTAATATTTCATAATATACAATCGGATATCCCACACATAGAAATTGGGCATCAATATTATATGCGTCCTGGGGTTTAACATGTCTAATAATTAACATATTGATACGTCAATATGTGAATCAAAACTATGAAACAAAACTAATCAAGTTCTGTTTGCTTGAAAATGATCAGACCAAAATGAGAAAACCATTTCATATAACATTATAGCAAGCTAAACTGGTAAACTTGTCTTAAGATTGTTGGAAACATTGGATCTAGTTGTATAATAAATCACATAGAAAATCAAGAAATAATTCATGCAATTATATATCACAATAATGCATGTACATTAGTAATCAATGTTAAATGAACATGGTATAATGAACTAGAAAAACCTAGAAAACACGGTCGAGGCAAGTGTTGGACATTTTGTCCTTAAAGAGAAGATTTATAATTCTAAAGGTGGGAGTAGAGGGTTTATTTATAATTCTTTTTTTTTTTTTGGTCAAAGAGAAGATTTTATTCCAACCAAACACACTAATATACAAACTTACATACAAACATAGGCCCAACAACACCTATACACAACCAAAAAGGCCTAAACAGAAAGAAAAAAACAACAGAAACAAAAAATGAGCCCAAAAGCCTAAAACAAAAGAACATCCGAGAAGCATCCACTGCCTTCTCCACCGTCAATTCGAGGAACCTCCAACCAGGCCGATTCTCCGACCGCGCTGATCATCTCCTTCACTGAAACCTCCTGTGCACAGCCATAAGCAAGAGGTAACCGGCATCCAAACGAAAGAAGCCAATCACCATATTGAAGCTCAAAAAACTTTCCAAGCAACACTGCCGAAAACAGCAGACACAAAGGAGAACGTAGTGGTGTTGAAAACACCTGAGCCGGTGAAAGCTCCAGAACCCTACACACGAACTCCACAGAAGACATGGCTGAAAATCGAAGCAAGGAAGAACTAGGAAGAGGAATACCCACAGAGTTGGAGAAATAGGATAGGCCAAATTGAAAATTGGGGAGAACCAACAGTAGATGTAGAGAGAGAAGAAGGAGAAAAGGGAGAAAAGGACAAAGCATTCGATCTCAACCGAAGCTAGGGCCAGTGCCATTTGAGATGTTGAAAATTGAAGGTCTCACAGAAACACTCTCACTTCAGAGAGAACAATGAAGGCGATTTTACTAATTTTGTCCAAAAATATATAATTTGTTGATATGTAATATTCCAAGCACACCAGTATGGGTTAGGCCTTCTACCTCTCTGGTGCCTCTATTGTTGGGCTTCTATTTCTGTTTGTTGCCTTTGGGTTTTGCCCATTGGGTGCTAACTGGGTTAATGGGTTTTTTTTTTTTTTTTTTTTTTAATAAAACTGGGTTTATTTGTTATGTAGCAATGTTGAGGATGTTGGTTATTAGCTTATTTTATTAAAGATTCAAAATATTTTTATTATTATTTAAAATAATAAATACGAAGATTCCTGTCTTCTATCAAAGGTTATAGAGAGTTTTATAAATAGGAAACTTCTCAAACATAAAATATACGTTAAAATATTATAAAAACTAATTAAAAGAGTTTGAAAACTTTGAGTTTTAACGAAAATGACAAAATAAAAGGTAAAGTGAATAGTACCAGTATTTATTTTTTAGTGTAAAAATGTGGTTTTTCGTCAAAGTGAACAATATCAGGAGTTTTTCGTTAAAGTTTCCTAAAATATTTTCCTTCCCTTCCTACTATAGTACGCATTTATATTCTCTATTATCCTCCTACTCAGCTCTATTATTAATGGAATTGATCACTACTTAGCCCCCATATGCTGTAATCATATTTATGGACCAGACACTTTGTGAGATTCAAGGGTCATATCTTGGAGTTGTAGATAGCCTTTATAATCTGCACATAGGGAGTTGTCAATGGCTTTAGGACAGTTATAACACACCTCTCTTGATATTGCATGCCAGATTATTCCTTACTCTCTTTTTATCTACTGCTTTGTTTATTGATATATGTGTTTAATGCATTTTGGTATTATCTAATTGATTTAATTTACATGTGTACTATGACTATAATTGTTTATCTTATCCTACAGGGAAAGGAATATGGCATTGCAGTAATGGCATTGCTCGATGGCCCGAATTTACCTTACCACGCCCATCTCCAACTTAGTTAAAAACAAAGATAGGAAATGATTTTCATACTCCTGTTTATTTTTATTTATGGATTCCTTTTCGACTTATTCATTTCAGATCACAAAAATAATGAAAGGTGTGCATGGAGAGAAAAATAGTGCTAAATCACTTCCAATAAGATATTTATTGTATTTTTGCATTGTCAATCACATGATGACTGTGTCATCCAATATTATGTTCTATGTATCTGAAGAGTGTAGGCACCAAACGTGGGTTTTCAAGTACCAATATTTAGCCAGCCAAATCCATCAAAAGTTAGAGGTTTATGTTCTTGTTTTGACACTGTTAGAGTTTTGAATTACAAATTTTTAAGTTGTCTTTTGTTTTTTTTAATTTTATTATAAAACTGTTGGATTGATATGGTACACAGTCAAGTTAAGAACTAAATAATGTTAAGAAAACAGAGAATCTTTATTATTGTCATCTACCTATGAAACCCACATACTTAAAGCAGCCATTTTACAAGATAACTATGAGCTTAGACTACTGTTGCTTTGGTGGATAATTTAGGTTTTTGTTATGGATGATGTTAGGGAGATCAAATTTTTACATCAAATTTCCAAACTAAATTATGTGTAATTAATAGGAAATGAACACGTTAATCAACACTTAAGTAATAATACCATAATTAACATCACCAATCTCTCTCTCTCTCTCTCTCTCTCTCTCTCTCTCTCTCTCTCTCTCTCTCTCTCTCTCTCATATAGGGATATGGTTGGTTTAACTGCTCGTGAAATTAGAGTTGTGGCTGTGGGAGAGAACCCATGAGTGAGCAAAGCAGTCCTTTTCTTTCATGTTGGCCTTGCTTGCTGCAAGTATAGTTGAAGATATATGGACCATGCATGATCTGTATACGGTTTGAGTAGGCTCACACGTGAATATGCAATTTGCAGCCTTTTTACAAGGACAAAATAATTGTTGAAAGCAAAAGACAATGGATTTTAAGCTACAAACCAAACAATACTTCGTTCTTTTCGGACTTTTTTATACATCATGAAAAGACTACGTACGTCTAACTTTTTCTTTTTCAGAAGAATAACATGTAAATATATTTATGGAAATTATCAATTATAAGATTTGTATATCAAGGGAAGGGCCTCATAGCTCCTTACTATAGGCGATTTAGGGAAACGTCCATCATTTTTTATCAAAATCTAACTAAGAAGTAAGACCGCGGCTCCAATAGGGCACATGTCCATCAAATAAATAGCCGAAAAAGGAGAGAGTGCTTCTATAATCACATCATTTGCAAGAAATGGGCATTGGAACAAGTCTTCCTTGAATTCTCAGTTAGGGCATCCTCCTTTTCTGCAACAGTGGGAAAGCGGGTGAATTCGCCTTGGCGAAGATAAAACAAAAAAGTTATTTTCAAAATCTATACAGTTTGTTAGGCTAGCTATACTATTGTAAAAGATTTCACGTTCATGTCCATTTGGCGCTTGTTTCGAACCAGTCCGTTGGTGTTTTGCTCTAGTTTTACATATAAAGCATATCAAGTCAATCAGCTTCAAGTTTTTATACTTTCCGCTACTATTACTTTGATATACAGTAAATGTGTTCAAAATTTGAGATACTTAACTTTAATTTTGTCAATAAAGACTGTTTGAATGTGAATTCATATAATTTCTCAAACAAACGCAAAATATTAACGTATGGCATTCCCACTTAGTAAATGTTTAATAACCAAACATATAGTCATGGGGTATAGAATGTGCCACAGCCCTTCATATTATATCCTTCAAAGGAAAAATAAATGTGCGACCTTTTCATGAAGCTAAAACATCCTCCACCACATGACCAATAGAGGGGGGAAAAAATCCATGAAAAGTTCTGTAGCAAGTTTCAGCTAGCTAGCATTTATTTCAAACCTAAAAAAGTAAAACATATTTCCTTTTCTTTCAAAACTTTCTTGAAAATCTAGCACGGTCACGAAACTATTCACCCCTTCCGTTGATAAGTGACAAATGATTGAACAATATCCATTCAAATAAATAATGGCTGCAGGGCCAAACAGACTACTACAAATAGGCTACTATAGACCTCCTTCTACTACCATGTGACAATCTTCAGAGTTATTTGGCCAAGTTAACTAACTCTTGCTTCCCATTGCCACTCAATCCAATTAGCTTAAGTCCTACGTTAGGGTTTTTTTGTATTCTCCAAAATTTTCAAACATGGCACCTCCTGGAGAGTTTATTTCTGGCTCTAGGGCCAACAACATCTCCAAGTCTAAGCCACCAAGGCTTTCATCCTCAGCAGATAGCCTTAAAAGAACAATGTCCGACATCTCTTACGAGCTCAGCAAAGAAGCCAACTTTGATCAGGATCTGAAATCCCTTCCGCCGATATCGGAGGTGGAAGATGCAAAGTGTGAATGCTGTGGCATGAGTGAAGAGTGCACGCCCGAGTACATAGACCGAGTGAGAGACAAGTTCTTGGGGAAGTGGATATGCGGGTTGTGTTCTGAGGCAGTGAAAGAAGAGGTGGAGAAAAATGGAGGAAATAAAGAAAAGGCTTTGAATTCACATATAAGTGCATGTGTTAAGTTTAACAACTATAGTAGGGCGTATCCGGTTTTGTTTCAAGCTGAGGCTATGAGGGAGATGTTGAAGAAGAGTAAGTCAGACGGGACGGGCATGAGGGCTAAGTCGATTAGTCCAAAAGACAAAGGAGGGCCAAAGGGGAAGATTGCTCGGAGTTCAAGCTGCATTCCAGCGATTACGAGGGGGATGAACGATCTCTCCATGGCTTGAAGGCTAGGCATATAATATCTGATCATGATCTAGGGGACATGGTTTCGTATTTGTCAACCTGCTCTCCCCTTTTTATATGCTAATCATTAACTGGTATAGCTTCCCTCCAAATTAACCTTCTCAATCCCTCATACGGTTTCTCTTCTAATCATCTTGACTCACAACATGTACCGGTTACCTGGCTAATGGACCGACCTTTTTCCTTCTTGGTGTTTTGGGTTAGTCCAAACCCTCCTAGCTATCCTTGGCGCATCTTCAGTGTCTACTGGATTGTCTTCTTAACCCTCTCCTTCTTTCAGTCACCCTCTTGGGTTTTCTTTCGGTGGTATTTAGTTTCCTACTTCAAAGCCATGCATGTACTTATGCTTACCTATGGGGTTTTTGGGGTTTATTAGTACTAAATGCTCCATCACTGCCCTTCTCCCCTAGGGTTTGATTTTCCTTTTTCTTTAGTTCGCTAAGCTGATCTGCAGTGTGCTTAATTATTTACTAATTATTTGCTATTTCTGTATAAATAAGCTATATGTATCGGAACCCATGTAATTTAAATATGTATCCGCAGTTTCAATAATAATCGGGTGTTATATTCTTCTAGATAATATTTTTGGTTTATGTTTTCTCTTATCAATGGGGTGGAAGAACACTGAAGAAAGTATCATAAATAGCTATCAATACTTTTAATCATAGTGCAGCGAAATTAGGTTCATTTGAAAATTTGGTTTCTTGTAAATGGTCCATGCGCAGATTGCTGGCAATAGAGTTTATTGGTGGAACGGTGGAGGGGAAAGGTGTGGGTAGTATACCAAAATAACATTTTTTAAAATTTCTAGTTTGTTTATATTTTTTTCTTTTTTTTCTTCAACAGCATAAATTAATAAATATTGCCCTTTTCTGAAAAGGTCCTAGATGTTTGTTTTTTTAACTTCGGTACGAGAAAATTTTATTGATATGAATTTAAAAAAATTAAGCTTAGTTAGGGGGACATAAACCTTACGTTAAACCTAAACCCTAAACCTTACCCCTTTTAAAGCAAAAAAACCAAGTAAATGATAAGAAGAGGGAAGAGGGACATAAACCTTACTCTTCTTGAAAAATAAAATATAAGAAAAAGAGGGGGACATAACCTTACCCCTCTTGAAAAATAAAATACAAGAAAAAGAGGGGAGGAAATAGAACCAAACCCTCTAAAATAAAACTTAAAGGGACATTTGTTTGCCGTTACTAAATGGGACTGGACTGGACTAAGCTAGCTGTTAGTCTAATACCATATTTGTTCCATTTTGGAATTAACATTAATGAGACTAAAGGGGACTATATGGACAAAACCCTTCGCTAAGAGGTCTTAGCAAGACCCCCAATAACTAGGCCTGGCAAACGGGTCGTGTCTGTCGTATTCGTGTAATACCTATTATCTTAACAGGTCGTGTCACACCTGTTAAGAAAATTTTTTTTTTTTTCTTAAATTTGCACATATCACACATTGCCACATAAATATTACTTCAAAATATTAAAACACATTTGTCCTTTAAGTATTACATTTACACTTGAAAATAAGAGTCCAATAAACAAACATCCATACACTACTAGTCTATTACAAAATATTAAATGTGCAAGGATATGCAAAATGAAAGAGTTTTTCTTTCCAAGGTTGTGAAGCCTTTCTCAAAAGTTTAAACCTTGCCAATGGAACTCAAAGCTTGCACGTTATTCATTTAACAAAATCCTCAATTTTCATCGATCATGATGCATAAGATTTTGTGGTATCCACTAGTGTAAATATTTTAAATTGAAGATCGAATTCATTCATTGTATTCATATAGGGTCAAGGAGTGTAGCTGTTAAAAATCACCAAAATCAGACTTAAAATAACCGTGCAATCGTGATTTTTCGTTGGTAATCGTTGAAAAGTTTTGTCCCGTTACTTGATCTCTGAATGTTTGTTTTTTGTGATTTTTAGCATATGCAATCTTGAAGCAAATACAAACAAGTTTGACGGTTGGATCGTTGAAATTATTTTCGTAGAATGCATATCCCATCAAAACGATAGATTCACTAACACGTAGAGTTTATTTATACTTTCATCAAGTATAACATAAGATTTTGTGGTTGGGTAAATATTTTAAATTGAAGATAGAATTCATTCATTGTATTTATATAGGTTCAATGAGTGTAGCTGTAAAAAATCATCAAAATCGAAGTTAAAATAACCGTTAAATCATTGATTTTTCGTTGATAATTGTCAAAAAGTTTTGTCTCATTACTTGATCTCTGTGTGACATCCCGTCCCGAAACTATCGAAACGCTTAGGTGAAATGACCATTTTACCCCTAGTTTGTTTTATTATGTTGTTGGTTGTTTTATGCGGTGTTGGCCAAAGTTGGACCACACACCCACACATCCACACTTACCTTCTCTCCCTCTCCCTCTGACTTTTCTCTCTCTCTCCCCCGAGTCCTTATTCTTCTTCTTCCTCTTCCTTATTCTGGTACGGACACACACACACCTACCATATTTCACACAGATCGAGGAAACCAAGGGTGTAGTGGTGATCGTGAGGTCGAGGGGAGCACTGTGGTACCATTTTCAGGTAGGGAAACCACCATTTTCACGTTGATTCGAGGTTTTCCGTTTTGAACACTGTTCATGCAAACTTAATCTAGCTTGTTTTTGGACTTTTGAAGCTTGTAGTTGTGTTTGTGAGGTTCCCAGGAGCTTGGGAGTGCTTCGTTGGACAAGTTTGGACGTCGGGAAAGCTTGGTTCGAAGTTGGCCGAGTTTTGGAAACTTGGACAGGTATTTTCTCGTAGTTTTAGGCCTTAAAACTTGTAGGATCGTGTTCTACTAGTCCTAAGGGTTGAAATGGTGCAAAAATCTTGAAAAACGGTTGAAAAACGAGTGAGAAAACCTAAGTTGCAGGTTTTCCGGCGACGGCGCCGGCGATGGGGGATGGCCGGAGAAGACAGGGGAATATTCTGTTAGGGTTTAACGGAATATTCCTAACGGACGTTGACGGCGTCAGTTAGGGTTAACGGAATATTCCGTCAGTGCAAGGGAATATTCCTGACGGCATCACTTGACGCCGTCAGTGTGCATAGCACGTGGCCGCGCGTGGGGGCGCGTGGGTCCGTGTCTGAGCTGGCGCGTGGGGGCGCGTGGCAAGTCCAAAAATTATTTTAAAAATATGGTTGTGATCGTGAGGTTGTGTAGATCACGTTGGTATATTCATTTGTCCATTTTGAGCAATGTATGAGAAGTTATTTTGAACGGACGGTTATGTGCTCTAAAGTTAACGTTTTTATAGTTAATTCGCATATAGGTGACACGTATCCCGAGGACGAGCGTGCACATTCGAGGCAGGGGGGCTACGACCCTTCCACATATCAGTGAGTGGGCTTTTGTTTTCAGTATATACCTATATACATGTTGTTTCCCAGAAATTAGTATAAATGCCTCGTTTTACGCCATTAATTTTATATGATTGATGGTTATGCATGATTAGTGGCATATAAGTTGGTTTATATATTTATTCATACGTCATTTACATATATGTTGGTGCTGTGGCGGCCTAGGTAAGTGCCAGGTAAGCATTGTTTAACATTTGCATTAAATAGCGATTAGAGGTGCTTAGAGAGCTTATAACCTGCACCCCCGGTGTTAGTGCTCCCGCCCAGAGTAGGGCACAGTCCTTCACGTGTTGTTCACCTCCCGCACCACACACTCAGCTTGAATCCAAGTTAGGTGCACAGCCCTGTCGTACAGACCACTATAGGTGGTTCCGACTCGTAGGTGACCCGCGATTATTCGCACAGCCTTCACGTGATCGTAGCACTAGAGCGTCTATATGTTTTGCACCCAGGCCTGTCGTACAGACCACTTTAGGTGGTTCCGACTCGTGGGCAGGTTTAGTTTTGGAAATTGAGATTTGAGCTCTAGATTCAGCCGTACAGGTCACTTAGGGGACTCCGGTTGTCAGATGTTATGATATTGATGCGATTTATACCTGAGCACTTGCATGTTGTTATGACGTTTCGAGATGGCATACCTTTGAGCATGACTTGGCATATCTGCATATATGTGTTTATTTTCTGGGAAGTATACAGGTTTTACGGCGAGGGGTTAAAATGCATTTTATTAAATGATTTTCAAAGATTTGGTTTTTGCCCACTCACGCTTTTGTTTTGCGCCCCTCCAGGTTCTAATAGCTTAGCGGGTTTGGTGGTTTTCCCGGAGGACGTCCCGGCATTCTGACAGACACTCACCTACGTAGGGTCACCTTCGGGTGCACTTTCGTTGTATTGTTTCTTTTGGACTGCTGTAGGCTTAAAGCTCTGAATTCAGCGTCTTACTTTTGCTAGCACATACTTTATCACATTATATTTGCTAGCTTTAAATTATTCGTACTTTTATATTACGGTTTTTAGCTTCCGCACTGTGCACATGGCTACGTCACTTCCACGTGACGGCCAGCACGCCCTGATCTTGGTTGGGGTGTGTCACTCTGAATGTTTGTTTTTTTTCAATTTTTGGCGTATGCGATCTCGAAGTATATACAAACATATTTGACGGTTGGATCGTTGAAACTAGTTTCTTAGAATGCATATCCTATCAAAACAATAGATTCACTAACACTTAAGAGTTTATTCATACTTTCATTAAGTATAACATAAGATTTTGTGGTATCCATTAGTGTAAATATTTTAAATTGAAAATCGAGTTCATTCATTATATTCATATAGGGTCAAGGAGTGTAGCTGTAAAAAATCATCAAAATCGGAGTTAAAATAACCGTTAAATCATGATTTTTCGTTTATAATCGTCGAAAGGTTTTGTCCCTTTACTTGATCTCTGAATGTTTTTTTTTTTTGCGCTTTTTAGCTTATGCGATCTCGAAGCATATACAAACAAGTTTGACAATTGGATCGTTGAAATTAATTTCGTAGAATGCGTATCCCATCAAAACGATAGATTTACTAACACTTGCAATTTATTCATACTTTCATTAAGTATAACATAAGATTTTGTAGTACCTACTAGTGTAAATATTTTAAATTGAAGATCAAGTTCATTCATTGTATTCACATAGGGTCAAGAAGTGTAGCTGTAAAAAATCATGAAAATCATAGTTAATATAACCATTAAATCGTGATTTTTCGTTGATAACCGTCGAAAAGTTTTATCTTGTTACTTGATCTTTGAATGTTTGTTTTTTGCAATTTTTCGTGTATGCGATATCGAAATATATACAAACAAGTTTGACGGTTGCATTGTTGAAACTAGTTTCGTAGAATGCGTATCCCATCAAACAATAGATTCACTAACACTTAAGAGTTTATTCATACTTTCATTAAGTATAACATAAGATTTTGTGGTATCCACTAGTGTAAATATTTTAAATTAAAGATCGAGTTCCTTCATTGTATTCGTATAGGGTCAAGGAGTGTAGCTGTAAAAAATCATCAAAATCTAAGTCAAAATAACCGTTAAATCGTGATTTTTCGTTGATAACCGTCGAAAAGTTTTGTCCCATTACTTGATATCTGAATGTTTGTTTTTTACAATTTTTGGCGTATGCGATCTTGAAGTATATACAAACAAGTTTGACGGTTTGATCGTTGAAACTAGTTTCGTAGAATGCATATCCCATCAAAATAATAGATTCACTAACACTTAAGAGTTTATTCATACTTTCATTAAGTATAACATAAGATTTTGTGGTATCCACTAGTGTAAATATTTTAAATTGAAGATCGAGGTCATGCATTGTATTCATACATGGTCAAGAAGTGTAGCTGTAAAAAAATCATCAAAATCGGAGTTATAATAACCGTTAAATCATGATTTTTCGTTGATAACCGTCGAAAAGTTTTGTCCCGTTACTTGATCTCTGAATGTTTGTTTTTTGTGATTTTTTGCTGATGCGATCTCGATGCATATGCAAATAAGTTTGACAATTGGATCATTGAAATTAGTTTCATAGAATTTGTATCCCATCAAGTTCAATGGTGTGTGTGTGTGTGTATATTAAGTAGATTTAAATTTATTTATTTTGTACGTATAACACTTAAGAAATTGAATAGTATGTATATTTAAGCCAATACAGTGGTCACTAATTTTTAATATTTAATATATATATATATATATATATAATTATTATAGTTTTTAAGGGTATAAAATTGTTAAATTAATATATATAATTATTATAATAATTTTTTAGGGTTTTAAAATTATAAAATTAATATTTTACTTATCGTGTATCATGTTATCCACGTGTATATCGAGCCAACCCGTTATCTTAACAGGTGCTTATTGGGTTATCTGATAACGATCCGATTTATTATCGTGTCGACCTGAAGACCTATTAATTTCATGTCGTGTCATGTCGGTTTATCACATCGTGTTAGGAATTGCCAGACTACAAATAACCATGCGACTACTAAGACCTCCTTCTGCTCTTCCTCCTGCGTTGCTTGCTTTCTGTCCTTACTCCAACCAAATCACACCACCAGACCACCACACTCTCTCCCTCTCTTCTTGTCTGCTACTCGACTACGACGATGGCTCCTTGGGTGAGCAAAACTAGATTACCATTCACCCAAAGCTTGAGCCGATGCCGATCTGCGCGTTCGCACTCAGCCACACCATCTGCAACTCCAACGCCTGCATCGATCGGTAAATCTTTCATATGGTTGTGTTCATCGTGTCGGTGCTTAAGGTTTTTGGCATTCTGATTAGTGTGCGTTTGCGTCTCGTCCATTCTTCTGATTTCTGAATTCTGAAGTTTCTGAATCCCCAAGTTATTCTTGTATACTCTTGTCGATGCGCTTATCTCTTGCTGCAGAAAAAAATGAGATTCGAAAAAAGAAAGAGAAAAGGAAAGGGAAAAGAAAGATGGGGGAGAGAATTAAACCAATGAAAGAAACGAGAAGCATCAGGAAAGGAAAAGAAATAGAAAAGAAAAGGGAAAATAAAGAGGGTGGGGGAGAGAAATAAAAAAATTGCGAAAAAAAATTTTTAGATCTAAAAAATAATTTAGTCCGTGAATTAGTCCGGCACTGCACTAAACATTTCATTATTTTTATCATGCTTAGTCCAAGGCAAGCCAGTCCAGCTTAGTTCCTAAAACTAGTTTAGTCCGAGATAGTCCAGTATAACAAATATACCCAAAAGGTAAGAATCTGCAAGATAAGCTGCACAACAAAAAGGATAATAAAAAAGGGTTAAGTAAAAAAATGTGATCAAGGAATCAAAATGCAAAAATGGAAGAATCTCTATTGGTGAAGCAACATGCCAAATAAGTGAAGACTAGAAAAGATGTTTTGTTCTATAACACGATGTAGGTCTCAATTTTTCTCTTTGGGATTTTGTTTCTGAATATACATTAATCAATACTAGTTCAAAGAAAATATTAACCGAGCAAATTTTTATTTCTTCCTCGAACATGATTGGCTTGGCAATATTCTACCATGGTTTTTTTGTCAAAATAGTTCTAATATGGTTGAGTTCTACAGTTTCCATTGCTTCAAGAAGATTAATTTGAATGTAAGCGGTTTGATTGATCACTTGTACAACTTCTTATTCCAGTAAATTCTACTGGCTAATGACAGAATTTTTACCATCTACAAAAGTATGGATAAAAATACTTACAAGAAAACAAAATAATTGTAGTATAAATAGCTCAAACAAGATCATTCTTCACAAGAATTGATATGAATAACTTGTATTTAAAATGTATTCTTAACTGACTGTTCAATACAAGTTTTGAAAAAGCTTTGAAATAGTGAATTGAAATAACGAAAAAATAAAATAAAATAATTGAAATTGATTTTTGTAAACTCGGCAACAAAAAGACAATAAAATAGTTGTGGAGAAAAATTAAATGTAAAGGGCATTAAGGTTTAGCCATCACTATTAACAATTCTATGTAGTTTTATCAAATTACTTATAAGTTAACACATGCAAAAGTGAGAGGTCTTAGGTTCGATTCTCGTCAAATGCGAATTTGAACCACATTATTATTAGTCCATTGTGAGGTAAAACTCCCTCCCTTAGTGTAGATAATATTGTTTGTTCAAAAAAAATTTAATCAATAAATAAATAAAAGGATTGATTACTTAAAATCCTCCAATCATTTAGTACTATGGTCTAATAGCATTTCTCTTCACTTGTGAGTGAAAGGTTTTAGATTCGAATTTTGTAGATAACAAATTCGATACCAAATTAGATACACCATTATATGACTTAGTTGAACTCTTCCTTCCTCTCTCTTACGCTATTTGAGACATTAATAATGGATGCTCTCAAATAGCATAAAAAGGACCATGTAGATCATTGTTCGAGGTCCTGCACTAACCACACTTTTGCACTCCATCGTTCTAACTGTCCATTCGACACTTGGTTGAAATTATATTTTTTTTATAGTTTCTTCAATTTCAATTTTCGCATTGTTTCATTCTAGTTGTATCAAAGACTTCAATTTAGTATTATAAATTTAATTTCATTCCCCGCACTTCAATTTGTCACGTGCTTGTTTTCACTTTTTCCTTTTTATTTTGCACTTTAATTTAGATTTTAGCACTATATCAACTCCGTCGTCGCGGTGAGTTCGTTCGGATTGATGCGATTTACCTTGCACACTCACGTCATTTTTTGCACTATTAAAAATCAAATCCATTACACATTCTTCATAACCATCACATGCAAGTATACTAACGATTGCTCACCCATCACGAGGACATTTGAATTCACACATCACGCTACAGGACCCATAGTTGAAGACTAAAAAGCCAATCAAAGTTCTTCCACATAAGACACAGAACTTAAAATGGGGTGATGAGCAACAAGTTAAACCACCATTCCCACCACCAGTCTAGCAACCTGCCGCACCAGCTAGAGCTCCTTGGGAAATTGCAATTGACAAGTTGGCAGAGGCTACTCGCATCAGTGAACAAAGCAATCAGAACCTACAAAAAATACAGCAGACAATGAATCAAAACATGCAGAATATGCAAGCTTCCACAACTAATTTGAAGAGGCAATTTGGGCAGCTAGCAAGTAATATCACTTAAGGAGAACAAGGAAAATTTCCCAGCCAAACGGTTCCAAATCCAAGAGGTACAGAAGATTGTAGTGCAATAAGAACGTTGAGATCTGAAAAGAGATAAAACAATCGCGACAAAGAAAGAATTGACAACGAGGGCAAAGCCACAAAAAGTGCAGAAAAAGATGCAGAAACTGTTCGTGGACAGATTTTGAAGATGAATTCCAACCACATTATTACTAGCTCATTATGAGATTAAATCCACCACTCCCGGTATAAATAATTTCGTTTGTTCCAAACAACATAGTCGGATAACATTAGCATGCAATCCTCTTTTCCTTGGGAGGATTGCATTAACATGCCTAAATTCCAAAACCACCTGAAAAAAAATTAAAACTGGAAAGAAAATTGAACAGATCCAAAGCAGTTAAAGAGTACGCAACAAGAATCTAAGAAAACTTAAGTCATAACATCCATACAGCATTTTATCACATCAAAAGGACAGGAGATAGTTTAAACATGAAGGGTTCAAAGTTTCCACTACTCAAGCCTATCATATTATGTCTTCTAGTCTTTGTGACCTGGTCCCGATATCAGACGAAAGACCAGTTTACAAACAAGAAACACATGCAGTGAGCCGTCTCCTCTTCGTTCAGCACCTTCCAAGCCACCGCTCTCTCATATGACACCGGTCGCCCCATGCTGGAAAGACAGATGCCACCTGGAAGACATGTGAAACCCTACAAAAGTAGCACAATGAAATCACTACAAAAGCTTATAACTCTATGAATATCGTGTTTTAGCAATTCGTTCTTTATATGGATTCAAACAACCGACTGGGATATTGAACCATAGCTCGTCTTTAGCACCATAGCACGTTAGTTAAAAATGACATGAAAGAAAAGTATATGATTCAGAGATGTTCTACTACACCTGTTGCATTATTTGGGGGAATTCCGAGCATAGAGTCTTTCGTCCATGGTCATCAAATATCTTTTCCAAAGTTATGTCTTGGAGCGCAACCAAGGTGGTCTCCAGCATGTCGAGCCCTGCCTGGTTTGCAAAGGTGAAAACTGGCAATGCCTGCAAAAGGGGAGTTCATAGCATATTTGCTTAGAATAAGTAGGCAAGATAAGAACTCAAAGAACGATACACCTTCATTAAGTGTTGTATTGGTTGATTTTTCAAGGTTGGGTAATATGCTCACCTTCAGAGAGCAGCACATAATTGCATCCGAGTGATGCCACAAGCATTTGAGGATGGATTCACTTCTTTCATTGCCAGATTTGAGCAGCTCCACGCCCAAATAGCACCTGCAATATCAATAGTATTACAAGCTAAGCCACCTATATGATCATGCATGGTTTCACAGATCAAAGTTTCTTATTCCAACTTGTAACGTTCATTGCAACAGAAGAAAGAATATATAACATGTTGCGGGTGTGTGCCGAAAAAACCATTTTTTATTGTTGCACAGTGCATCATATATTTCAGTCCAAATAAAAGGAAGGGGGAAGAGAGGAGAGAGAGGAGAGAGAGAGATATAAAACCTGTAACTGTTACAGATCCAACGAGCAAGTGTTTGCGCTTCAGGAGTACCAAGTGGTGACCGAAGACCAGCCTGTGAATTCAAATGTGAAGGAGAGAGAGCTAATGCCACCCTCTGAACTGATGATATAATGCTGCGAACATATTGTCGGGCCATGGATGCTACATGCTCTTGCATGTGGCTCTCACAAGCAAATTCAAATGCTATAGTCATCACAGATCTTACACAACCCGCATTTGCAGAATATTCACTAGATCCTTTATTTCCAGTTGGCCCAATTTCAAGAGCAGAAGCAAGGTCCAAGGTGCGATTTGGACTGGTGGATTCCTGAAACATTTTTCAGAGCACTAATGAAAATTTCCATATAAGACGTAGTGCGGTATAAATTCTGACAGATAGCATCACTTGGGAATGGGATTTAGTTTTGAGGCTAACCTTCCCATAATCAAGAGGAATGATGCGAAAACCAGACGGTAGAAGAGGTGCATCATCAGCAAAAGAAGCATCAATGGGAGCGAAAATGAGTTCAGCACAGGAACCCACGGCATTCTCATCCATTCCACTGCACAGCTATTAAAATAAAATGGAAATTAAGCAAGAGAACCGATTGATTAGCCAAAAAAAAAAAATACATTGAAATAAAATGGATTTCAGGTCAACACAAAAAAAAAAAAAAAAAAAAAAAGAAACTGCATGCAACTACTTCTTATCCATATCTCTTTCTTTCCCTAAATACTTTATCACCGACACAGGATACTTTGATAGGCACCAAACATGTTTGACATTAAAAAATACACGAAAAGAAAAAAATCCTAAAGGAACATAATATCGTGCACTCCCAATGTGCACAAAGCGGTAAAAACTAGCTAAAAGCATGTTATGCCTATTATTTGCAAGAAAGAAATCTATCAGGTTAAGAATTAGTCTGTTATTAGGCTTTGACAGTCCAAGTTAAGCTATGAATAAATACCATCATTAACACAATTAGAATAACTGACACTTACTTGCAAAAGAAACATTTCTCTCGGCATCATTGCATCTTCAGGAGAATGGCCAACACCTTCCAATTTAATGACTTCCAAGAACTAATAAGCGCAAAAGAAACGCATTAAACAATTAGAGAACAATATAGAGTTCTATATTTTTTTTTTTTTTTTTTGCGCTTGGGGGGGGGGGGGGGGGGGGGGGGGTGTTGTGTGGGGGTGGTGGTGATTATAAACCATTGTAAAACAAGACTTTTTAAATGCAGTAAGTTCCTAGATGTCAACTTGCTTACCTCTTCATGCTCAAGAGTGTGGGCCAGGGGAAGTATAACTTGACCTCCGAAACTTCCAACTCGAGACCCAGCTAAGCTACAAGGCCCGACTTTAACAGCTGCAGCTGAGTAAGCATCAATATTGTTGTCTGCCCATTCTGATCTGTGCTCGCGTAGGAACCGAAGAAGTATAGCAGGGGGTACATTCTGGGAGAAATAGTAGACAACAAACCAGGAAGGTTTAAGAAGATGAGCTCAACATGAAAATTTTCATCATCGTCCATTTGAAAGGTCACCATGTATACAAATAACAAAAATAACATGCATGCATATCTTAATGTTTTATTGCTAATCTCCAGTTGATTGAAATGAAAGATGGGAAGCAACCTAACCTGTAACAGCATCGATGCTTTAGCACATAAGACGGAATTACTGACAGCTGGAAATCCATTACCAAAGGACAGGTTTAAGCCCATTAACTTGTCAGGAGACGAGTTTATGAGGATAGTAACATCATCCATGCCATCATTTCCCATCAATGACCACCCCTCATCAGTAAATCCATTAAGTGCCTCATTAAAACCCCTGGAAGAAAATTCCATTAGCTTCCAAGTAGCAAAGAACCCTTCTCTGACTGACAAATATATATTGAAACCACCATTATATACCAACCTGCTAAGCCTTTGGCTTAATGCTCGTAGAGCTGCAGGGCGTCTTCCCCAACCTGTGACATTAGATTGGGAAACCTCGTGCGCTATCTGCCTCAGCTGACGTAAAGCCTGAACGTACGTTAGAAAGACTAATTAAAAACTCTATCTCCCCTTTGCCCTCATAGAATGCTTGTAATATACATCTTGTTAGTTTTGAACACTACAAACAATGTCCAAATATCTACCACCATATGGTCTTACCGCCATTGTCATCTTTTGAGCAAGTACAGCTGATGATTCATACAATGGGCGCAGGACTTCAGGCACGCTACAAGGCTGGTTGATGAAACATGTAAGAGTTACAATTATTGTAATGGATGTATCAGAACAAAATTAAATTGAAGATGATTATCTCATTACGCTTCACGAATAACTTATTAACCTCCAAATCCATATGGTCAACGATATGTATGATTGAACCTCCCCCTTCACAGGGTCGTATAAGGTATCCACTAGGCAGCATTTCTGCTCTAACAAAATGCTGCACTGGAGGCATGGTTGGACCATTCTGAGTGTTTTTCAGAGATCTCATACAAATCTGAGCATTGTACACAACAAGAACAACTTCAGTTAAAGTAGTAAGTGAAGATGTATGCCATATGTATTTACTTGTGTGCCACGAATTGCTCGATCAACAAGATAGTTATTTGGCAATATGAATCAAAATTCACAACTTTGTGACAACATACCACAAGGCTGCCATCCTCTAAAATAGAAGTATAGCGCAACAGCCAGAAATCACAGGCAGGCGCCAAAGTTGTCGGCGCATAGAGCTACATCAGATAATTTAAAAAATTAATAAAATAAAAAATAAGGTGGTAAAAGAATGCTCTAACTTACAATACAAGTAGAACCTACCTGCATGTAGAGCAGCTCAATGGTTCCACCGTTTGCTGTAGGCAATACATTTAAAACATCTACAGCACGGCAATCACGCAACCACAAAGGTAGATCTTTAAGGATCTCCGCAACCTAAACATAATATAGTCAATAGTCAATCATACATTCTCTTAAATTCAAAGGAGAAGAAAACAGGCAGAATAGTCATGTTAACTTACCCTGGTAGGGTCTAGACCCACCAGGCCGCAGGCACGTGCTGCCACTCCAGTGCAACCATGAGAAATAGCAACGATTCCAATGGAATCCGGACCAGGCTGAGATATCCAGAAGAGTTAGCAAGGAAGAAACATATTAAAAAGGCCTAAATTCCCCTTAAAACAGAATAAGCAAAATAAAAAGTGCAGCCTAATGTATTTCATGAGAACCATACAAATAAAAATTGAAGTCATGCTAACTAAATGGCAAGAGTGTAACGAACACCAATAATCGAAATGTACTTTTCCATATTTATAACAATTCAACTACATCTCGGATCGTAAGGATTTTTATTTCTGATATAATTTCATATCATTGAAAAGTCAATGTTTAGAACTATAATTCCACCATCACATTGTTCAGGCATTTCTTCCTCACTTAATCAAATACATATACGAATACTTCAAAAAAAAATATAGCGAGAGAAATACCTTCATTCCAGGCATTTGGACCCACTCAACAGCAGTTCCAGTAGCCTTTGAAAGAAACTCTGCTAAAGTTTCTTCTGCAATGGACAAAAGTCTAGCGAACACAAGCAAACAAAGCACGAAGCCATAAGCCACCAAACACAACAAAAGCTCCTGTCACAAAGCCCGATAAACTGAAAAGGACTTAACAACTACATCCCACTACTACTAAGTTACTAACCCTGCAGGACTTGCATCCCTTGGCGGATGCTGAGGTGTCAAATGGTGTTGGCCACTCGTCACCACCGATTCACAACTTGTGTCTTTGGTTGCAAGCGTTGTCTGTAACAAAAATAAACAAACTTCACATGTCAATTACATTACCCCATAAATTCAGAAATTACGATAAAAAAACAACTATAATTCAGGACATTTTTGTTTGCAATGGCATTATTCTAAACTACTCTAACTTACACGGAGGTGCATTCGAACTTAGGCGTAAGGAGTCCGGCCAGTCCGGCCAACCAAATGGCCTAATCCACGTCTGAATAATAAGCATTACGGTATCTCACGTTGCTCACTAATTGATCTTAAAAGGGAAAATTTCAATCTTGGGTTTTGAATGGTTAATGATTTTAGCTATTCTAAGATGCCAAACGAGAATGTTAAAATTTCAGAGAGACGGACCAGCCGGCCCGTCCACTACTAATCAACAACAAAAAGGGTCTCGAATGGTTAATGAATTCTCACCCCCTGGGTATGCTGACGGAAGTAACCATTTTCATACACCAAGTGAGACACCTGCTTCTGCAACCTATCATTTTCTTCCATTAGTAGCTTATTCATAGCAGTGAGCTTCCTGTTGACAGCTTGGAGGCGCGAAGCCTCTTTCCTCTGCTTCTCCCTACATCTGTAAAAACCAAACCAAAAACAGACAACCCCACTAACATTAACTTCCTTCCTCAGAAAACAAGGTAAATGCAATGTAATTAAAATTTTTGAACAACTAACTTAGCACAAATAAGGAAACCAAACCCCATGCAACCAAATAAATCCATAATTTATTCAAGATCCAATTTTTGTTTACCTTCTGTTCTGGAACCAGACCTTAATCTGTTTTGGCTCGATGTGGGAGAGAATCGGGCACTCCCGAATAAGCTGTTGGCGACGAATCGAACTGGGTTTGGGGCAATCATGATACAGCCTCTCGAGGGCTTCAACCTGCTCAGGTGTGTACCTCACATACTTGCCATTATCCAATGCATGTTTATTACCATCCTTGCAGGACATAGCCATTTCCAAATTCTCAGCTCAGAAATCACTTCCAACCCACAGAAAATTACACCAAACCCAGAAGACCAAACCACTTTTCAAACCCTCAGAGCTCCAAAACAGACCAAAACGACAACTGGGTCTGCACCCAAATGTGCAAACTTGCAGACTTTGATAGCTAATTATTTAGAAATAAATTAAACTTTTCGAGGATAGAGGATGGAGATTAACCGACAAGGGACAGCACTACCCTTAACTGGAACGGAGTTAGCACCAAACACAAAGAAGCTGTACAAATATTTCGAGATCAGCAACCACAACCGATCTGCTCCCCAAACGACCACTACCCAATAATCGTTTTGAGATGATAAACACGAGTTACTGAGCGAGTGGAATCAGTGAGTGGAACGATTCCTCGTACACCCAGCTGGTTAGACCGATCTCTGTTCTACGGCCTGAGAACCAGAGGAAACGTCACCGTGTCGCCGATCTCGATGGCTTCCATGTCTAACCCACGAGACATTTTCTAGGACTTAAAGGGTTGAAGCAGCATGGTTTGCGTGCGGGATTTGGGTTTTGGAAGCTGAAAGTTAGAGGGTTTGGAGCTGGAGTAAGGAGAAGAACAAAAGGTAAACCACTAGCGGTATGTTTTGCTTTGTTTCTCGTTTTGGTTTTGGTTTGCTTTTCTTGTTTTTGCTTTCGGATTCATACAGTTTTGTTGCTGCTGATGATGATATTGTTGGTTTTCATTGGCTCGTCACTTTCGGCTCAGATGAGGAGAGAGAGAGAGGAGAGAGGAGAGAGAGTGTTGCTTGCTCGCTCCACTGTGTAGGAAAATGGAGCTAAAAAAAACTTTTACCTTTGAATATCTTTTTCGTTTTTCTTTCACGCTTCTTGAATGACCAAAATGGCCTTGAACTCAATTCGCGTGATTACTTTTCTTCAATGCCTTTGAATTTTCAGACCAACCAACCTCAACAGTAAAAACTAATATCAAAGTGGGTCAACTGGATGCAACCCGTATACACTGAGTTCTTGCCAACAACAAACGTAAACCATGTTTCTCGCGTAATTATGTGATCAGTAATTGTGATAAAATGTATTCCGTGTTTTTCGTTTTGGTTTTGATTTGCTTTTCTTGTTTTTACAGTAACTTAAAATTTGAATGCAAAATCTATTAGTTCTTTGATTTATTTAAATGTCATTATATATGACTCATGTAAACTACAGATGTATATAACGTTCTTTTAATTATTTCTTTACACGTTAGTCATGTGAACTTTGCTAGGAAAGAAAAGTGTTGCATGCAGAGAATTCTTCGTAACAAACAAAGATTAAGCAGCATCATCATTTTTTTTTCTTTTTGATAATGTGATGTCATTTGAATTTACAATCTCTATTACCAAATCCCAAAAATTCAAATTGAGCTCATGTCAAGAAGTAGGATTTAGAAATTCCAAAAAATAAAAAAAAACCTCTCCATTAGAGAACCTTTAGAAATATTAGAATTATAGAGTCATCTCTAATGCATCAAAAATTGAAAGTATTAAACTTGGTACAATCTCATTTACCAGATTATCTAACAAAAATGAGCTAAGAGTTATTAGTTTCACCTGTTATGAACTTAATTATGGCTTGTGTCAATAAAATAGGACTTAGAAATACCAAATAAAATTATAAAAATCTCACGCAAGTAGAAAGATGTCATTGACATTTTAAAAAATCATTTTACATTTTTTATACGTGTAATTTTTTTAAATATAAAAAATTGTAAAATGCCTTATTGGAATGTCAATAAATTATTGTGTTATTGTATATATGAATCAAATTGGGTGATTTTTTTTTTTTTTTAACAAACGATATTATCTACATCAAGAAGGTATGGTGGGTTAAACATCACGATAGGCTAATGTGGTTCAAATTTACTTTTTAATAATAATTAAACTTAAAACCTCTTATTTATAGATAAAAAAAATATCATTAAATCATAATATTAAATAGCACTGAATGAATTTTTTTTTTTTTAAGATACAATTTGAATCAAAGGTCCGGAAGATTTTTTAGGATCTTTCTATTAATGAGAGTTAGTTAGTATCATTCATGATGGCAATTTGGTCAAAGGAAATATTAGAGGAAGATGTGCAGTCTCTGCAGAGTGAGAGATAATGCGCGCATCAGAGAAGGAGAATAAAAATAAAAAGTAAACAAAAAAAGAGAAAAGCTTTTGAAATACTAAAAAGGCATGGCGAGGCAGCAGAGGACACCATCATTAGCTTTTTGCATGCGTCTCGATTTCAAAGCTAATACCAAAAAAGAAAAAATATTATTACTTGCACACCAGACACACACCAATATTTTAAAAAATATTTTTTTTTCTAATTTTCTGTTTATTTTTCAGCTTCATTTTGTATTAATTTATTTATTAGGAGGCTACGTCATCATATCACTATGCTATGGAATACATCCTACTACATCATGGTAATATTTATATTTATAAATAATATCTCGATGGTATTTGCATTCGTATGCAGTAAAATGCAGAGAATGCAGGAAACATTATACTCTCATTGCTGATAAGACATGTGACATTTGAGATGGAAAAAGCAAATGGCGATGGGATGGTGGGTGGAGTCGTGATGTGATGTGTTTGTAGGGATAATAATAATACGAATTATTTTGAACTGAATTAATTCGAGAATTAAATTGCATTAGTATGGCATAAGTTAAATATTATAAAAATAATAAAGTGTTAAATGTAGTGTCAGAACTTAGTCACGGTCTAAATTATTTTTAAAATTCAAATATTTTTTATTATTTTTTAATTTATCTTATTAACACATATTGATATTAATCTACATTTTTTTATCTTGACTCACTCTCTCTTCCCTTTCTCTACATTTCCTTTCCTTTCCTTTCCTTTCACTTCTTTTCCCTTCCTTTCTCTTCTTCACACTGTCTAAAACTGCTCTTGTCAACACACCAGTTAGCGACAACCCCTTTCCTCACCTTCCACAAAAGCTCATCCTCGTTTAAACCTTTGGTCTCGTTCAAACCTACAAGATCTTTGGAGCCCACCTCCAATTTTGCTTTCTCTTTGCTATCAACCACCATAACTTAAGGGTACGTTTATTGCATCGGACTATCTCGGATTAAATTAACTTTAATGACTAAGTTGGATTGCTCTAGAATAGACTAAGCTGGACTAACTTATGGAAGCGTTTGATGCAGTGTCGGAATAAAAAGCAGAATAATTGATAAATTCTAATAATATTATATTAATTTATCTATATCTCTATTAATATTTTATTCTTAATTCTCTCAATTTTTTTTTCCTTTTTCTTTTTGAAAACTCTTCCTCTTCTTTGAAATCCAATTCCACACTCTAAGATCAAATCAAAACCAGCTTCCTACAATTGCATACTAGAACAATATTATAGATCAGATCAAAATCAACTCCTGACAATTTTAAATTCCACAATTTGAGATCAAATCAAAACCAATTCCACAATTTGGCGTCTGAGGCTGCTTACCCCATCTTCACCGTCGACGACCTTAAGTTGCCATCATCCCAATCCAAGACCTTCTTTGTCTTCGTCGCCATCGTGGGCGCCGGTGTTCTTGGCCTCCAATATTCCTTCATCGTCGTCGTATTCCTCACCCATCACTGGGTTCACAAGGATTCCGTGATTTGGATTTCAATAGCCGTCATGTTCCTCACCTACCACTAGGTTCACAAAGATCCCGTGATTCGGGTTTGAATGGAGACCATCAACGACGATCTATGCCCACGACGGTCAGAGGTGGTGCAGTTATATGGGTCTTGTTGGAGGAGGAAGAGGCGGAAGATAGTAGAAAGGAAGACAGTCTTAGCTAGTCCCCTCTTTTTCGAAGGATCTCGCTAAGAACTTCTAGCAAACCCATTAGTCCACATGAGTCCCCTTTAGTCTCATTAAGCATAGTCCTAGTATTTAACAAACACTAGATTATAGTTCAGTCTAATCCAGTGAGAGTTAAGGAAGCCAAACAAATGCACCTTAAATGTATTACATGCCTAGTTTTTGGAAATGTGTAGCAACATTAATATTGACCTCACATGGGAAGCTTAATTGTACCACATGCCTAATTTTCCAATGGCCTAGAAATTTGACCTTGTGATAATCTTCGCCAGTGACTAAAACTCTAGAAGATTTTCTGCAATTCTTAAGGCAATTCACAGCAGCATTATATGCAATAAATTCCTCTAAGCCATACCCCAGGTTAAGGCTAAAATTATCGAAGAATAGGCGTGGGGTGGTGCCTACATCAATCTAAGCCTCAAATCGAGCTAACCTATGAGTGGGTAGTAAACGGATTTTGAGATTTAGGCGGTAGGTGAGGTTGTTGATGCAAAGAGATAGAGCAAGGGAGAGAGAGAAAAGCATACAAAGTAGATGAAGCGAAGGTCTTAGTTGTGAAATCCCATCCACAGATTCAACTCTTCAATAAATTGTATTTCGTTTTCGAGAAATTAATATTATTTTCCTTTAACTTGGAGTTTTGATTACTTAGTTATAAAGTTTGATTTTTTTGTAATTAGTCATTAAAAAAATCAATAGACCTTTCGGGGTTACTTTTAGTATTCTAGATTGAGCTCGATCCTACGAGGGTGTAGGCAAAAACCATTCATGAAACGGAATTGTAACGAATGAATTACGAGCTTCTAAAGGTAGGAGCAAAACAATAATCTCCCACTTTCTATATATAGCAACCTAACCTAATCCATTGGGGGAACCAAATATTTTTGGAATGTTAACCGGATAAAGGACCTAACCCAGTGAACTGACCAAACGACGAGACCCAGTTACTTGGCAACTTTTTCAACGCCAAGTTCGACATTTTCTAGTCGTTTAAGTCAATGCCACCTCTTGGGCGTGACTCACTCAACCTCTAGACCAAGAATCACTCAAGGTGAACCTCGGTTGATCGCAGTACATGATGGATCGGAGGCTTGAAAGTTCAAGATTCTGACGACCGATGATTACACCATTATTGTTTGAGATTCCGTTCATCAGCATTACCATTTAACATCTCATCGCAAAAGTTCTAGCCATTCTAGACTTTCTTAACGAATTTCACCATCCTATGGCCATCTTCACGTTCCGACACATGTATAAATCTTACTCACCTCTTCATGATTTATAATCTGGTATAATTTGAGCCATAATGATGTCGGTATAAAAAACCAGTGAGTTTGGATCGTCAGCTGCCGCGTGGCGGCAGCGTGTGGGGTTGATGACCCACTTTATCTACTTAGGCTAATTTATATATTCTGAATGTGATTTTGACATCCGTTTGATGAGATTTGACTGTTTAACCCTATTTTCATAAAGGTTTACCATGTGGCCTTTGTAGTAAATGAAGATCCGAAGGTTGGATCGTCACAAAATTATAGTATGTTGTTGTGCAAATTATTAGAGGGCCTTAAGAATTAAGGATTGAAATCTAATATGCGGATCTTTTGAATTAGATTATGTAAGGTTGTTGATCCTACTGTTAACCACGTTAACCAATGGTTGACTTTTGTGACCATACGCACTATAAGGATGACTCTACCTGGTTATTTCGCATTAAGGGTCACTGTTTACCTAGTTACATTACTTTCATAAGTGGTCTCGCCTGGTATCCGTATTGGGGATCCACATTACTTGATGCTTGCACATGGTCCTGCTTTAATCGACATTATGGGACTATACGCATTTTAGGGGTGGCCTTCGCCTAGTGAATCGCAGTGAGGGGTCACTGCCTACCTGGTCGCATTATATCCATAAGTGGTTATGCCTGACTAATCCGCAT